GGGGAGGTAAAAAAAAGGGGGAAAAGGAAAGGAAAGGAAAGAAATATAAGGCTAGAACGCCTGAAATGTTATTTTCGGGCGTCTAAAACACAACAATTTCGCGGGGGCATGCTCCCGGACCTCCTAGGACAGTGTTGTCTCGATCGACCCAACTTTAGGACCCCTTTCGCCCCCCCCCCCCCCACACTTTTGGACATCTCTGGATCCGCCCCTGTACTGGATATTTTTAGGTACAACAATGCGTTGGCAGTGTGTTCGCTTGTGTTCGGTATTCATACATTGTCATTAACTTCGTCTGTGCTATAATTCCGAATTTATTATTTTGTTTAAAACATTATTAAACTTTTTTAAGCTTTCAATCAATTTTCATGTAGGCAAGGATCCAGATTTCACACAATATTCGCGATTGGATTAGGATGATGTCTGCAATCTAGCCGCGAACACAAATATGTAAAACGTTCGGTAGCTAATCTGTAACTATATTGCATAGTATTTTACAAATTCAGATAGGCCCTATAAAATTCTACATTAACAAATTAATTCAAAGGATGTTTGCCCTACCTGACGTGTTTTTTTTTTTATAATACGAACGATGTTTGCCCTACCTGACATGTTTTTTTTCAAGTATTTGGGATACTGAGCGTATACCATAACACAGCAGGAAGGGAAACATCGTCCGTATTATTATTTATGACTTTTCACTTGTTACTTGCGCACTTGATTTAATAATTTGTTTAAAAACATTTTCACCATCATAATTTTTAATAATGAAAACCATAAAAATATTATAGACAATAAAAATAATAAAATTATATGACAAAATAATATGAAAATATAGCATAATGAATTTTTTAATCATTTATAATAAAACTTGCCACATAATATTGAACATTTTCACCATTATATAACTTATAAAATTAATTTTTTAAAAACGATAAAAATAATATATATAATAAATAAAATAATATGGCAAAATAATAATAATAACTAAAAATTATGTTCATGATATTATTATTAGTTTCTTTCACGTTTGAGAGTGTACAAAGGTACAGATCATTCCTGGTAAATTCCTATAAAAAAATTAATATAATATTAATATATACGGTAATTACAATAATTCTAGTAATAATAATAATATAATATAATAATAATACGGTAATAATAACGATAACAATATATATTAAAAACAAAAATATTACAAATATTATTTACCTAAAATAAACCATAATTAAGTTAGTAATAACTGTATATTATAAATCAGGAGGTTATAGTCGAGTAGGCCTGTAGAGGAACAAGTAAAGAGTGCAAAAAGAAACTTGTAGTAATTGTTTATAATAAAAACACGAATTAGTATTTTATACTAATAGCGAGGCCATTTATTCCCTCAAAACCAGTGTCCTAGTTAACTGTGGCCGAGTTGGATCGAAATCGCCTGAAACTGCAGCCCCTATGAAGACCCTAGGCCTCAGGCCAGGGGGGCTGATAGCTCGTATTTTTATACCTCCTTGCTCGTAGCATGGAGGGATTAGCTAAACTTGGCTAAACCATGGAGGTATGGCTAAACTAATTCCTTCCTGCTTGGAGGAAGGCACCACACAATGTGCGACGTCACACATTAACCCAGTTCAGCCAAGCGTGTTTTTGTCAACAGAGGCCGAAAATATTCATATAAAATGCTTTTTGATTGGTTGAGATTTTTTCATCAGGTCAGTCTGGTCACTCAGGGGTCGAAGTACATTAGGACGTATACCATTTTGATTTTTTTCCGAAGTCGGTCAACATTTATCGAAGTTACCAGCTTTTGCAAATTTCATTAAAATTCGTCGTTTTTTTCCCGAGAATTGTGAGTAATAAAGTTCAATTTTTTACTAACGAAGATTAGTTTATATATCTAAGAGCTTATTTGCCAAATATGTATGTAACACGAGGCGTAGCAAAATCGACGATAAGCTATCAGGATAACGGCTAAGTTAGGTTGGGTAATTATTTGCTTCAGTAGTTCCAAGGTTGAAATGCTGTAATCAGTGTTTAATGTTAGAAATTGCTGATAGTTTTGCTAAAGAATGGAAGTTAGAATTCAACCATGATAAATCAAATATTATGGTCGTGGGAAATCGTTTAAATAAAAATAAAAAGGGGAAACTGAGTGACAGTTTTTTAAAAGAGGTTAACTCTTATAGATATTTAGGAGTCTACATTTCTTCAAATTTAAAAGAACATACTATGAGTATGTAATTCAGAAGGGAAACCTACTAGTACTCATTGCATATATTAAAGGTATAGGTAACCTGGATAACTTTAACCGTATATATTACGGTAATTTATTGTGGAAAACCATCGCGCTCCCATCCATAAACTACATATAGCGTTTGGTACTGTAAATCAAAGAATGATAATGAAAAACCTGAAAAGCTGCAATCACAAATGGCCCGTTTCTTGCTTAAAGCCCCAAGATACACTCCTCAAGAGGCCCGTTATGGAGATCTTGTTGGATGGGCTCCCCTCTCAAACCTTACATGAGATTGCAAGAGCAAAATTGTTTAATCGTTTGATCATCATGGAAAACTACAGATGGCCGAATGTTGTACTGCATTCAATGTTAAAACTCAATTGTGATTTTGATCAACTTAAATTTAAGTTTCTAAGGGCCAACTCAGACAGCGTCGGCCGACGCAGCCCGACCCGATTTATCGTCGGGGACAGTCTTAAGCCGTCGTGAGAAATATTAAACACGTTTAATATTCTACTACGCGACTGCTCCCGACGCACACCATCGCGTCTGCGTTCAACTCACACAGACCCGACGCGACAACAAATCGCGTCGGGCTGCGTCGGCCGACGCTGTCTGAGTTGGCCTTTAGTTGCTGTATTGATATATTTGCAAAATGTACAGATGTAGATCTTTATAATCATGTGTTTGATACTGTAAATTATTCTTTTAATCCTTTTTCTGTAAACCATGTTGAACGCTGTGTGTCTGAATCATACAAATCTGAGTGGTCAAATAATGTAAGTCAAAAATCTTCACGTCAAGAATATTCAAAATTGAAAAAATACCCAAAGTTAGAAAAATATTTACTTGACAAAATAAATTTTAATGATTCAAGTTTGAAGTTTTGAAATTCGATCTAATACTCTACCTCTCGACTGTAAAACTTTCATTCTTGGTGGAGATTCTGTTCCCATTTGTGACCACTCTGCCAAAAAGTGGTTGATAATTTTTGTAAAAGATATAATACGGTGTGCATGGAACAAACGTACTGATTAAAAAAATTCCTAATTGTAATGAAGTGTATTACTGCCTTATATTGTTACTTTGTGTGTGCTCTTTTGCTCTTTTTTACTTTATGTAAAATCTGGATATGCATTTTGCTTATGCTCTCTGTTTATGTTTTTAATTTTATATGGATGGGTGCTCTTATTTCTTGTGTTAGTAGGGGTGTATTTTTTATTTTTGAAATGTGTAACTTTTTTATATGTTTGAGTGTGTGTATTGTGTGTGTATGTATATTTGTATGTGTATATATATATATATATATATATATATATATAT